TCCGGGCTTGGTTTTTTTTTTTTTTTTTTTTTTCTGGCACTCGCATGTTATCTTATTCTTTTGACTTCTTTTCTGTTTGTTCACATGTGATGCTCTGTGTAAGTTAATATGCGAAGGGCACACACAAACACTTTTAACAAGGGCTCCAGAGAAACCTGGCGATTAATTGCATGTATTAATACCATTTCCATATAATATTGTTGGTTTGTGATAAACTGCACACGAAAAACACACTTGTTGTATGCATATGTGGTTTATAATATCTTGCACATGAGATATTGAAAGTTTTATTTGATAGAATATATTAGCCAGCTAGCTCCTAACACCTAGCAAATACAGGCATTTTCACGGCCAATGAATGATATGTACAGTTGCAACTTGCATATATGGATTCTATAGCCTATATGTACTATATAGGTGAAGTTGAGAAGATTACATCTCTTCCTTTGCTTTGATCAATATATAGATTATGCAGTCGGATAGGAGCCAGGCCACAAACACCTTCTGGGGGACCAGCATTCGTAAGAATTTTCATATAGCCATTCTCACCCCCCAGCTCTCACCCCATTGATTCTTGAGTAACCAATACTTGGTGCTGTCCTCAGTCGTCCCATTCCCATACCCAACGATGGTAACAGCGTGCTCCAGTGTTGTCCCACAACCTGTGGCTGAGAACACCACACTTTGGTAATGCATAAACTGTTGGCGTGAGTCAACGTTCCTATTAGGAATAGAATTTGTTCTTATTAGGAATAGAATTTACATTTTATTGTAATTATCTAATTTGAGTAGAATTAGGAGATTTTGAACATATTTCCTATTTTTACCCACTTTGTATGTAGTATATATATTCCTCCTTGAGAGAAGAATAAACATATCAATTTAAACCCTAATTATTTTGAGTTGGTATCAGAGCGGGTTCCGATCCGTCTTTACAACATTAAAAACCTAATCCTAAAAATACATATTTCCGCTGCACCTAGCCTATACACCTAAGCCTGTGCCGTCTTATATCTCTTACTGTCATCGTCGCCACCTAATCTTTTGTTGCTGCCGCCATCTATCACTGTGTCAGATGTCACTGAATCTTCTTCTTCTACTCGGATTGTAACGGTTCATATCAAATCGTCCACCAACCTATCTATAAGATTCAAATTGAATGGATCCAACTATGAGATATGAGCTTCGATGATTGAACTCCATGCTACTACACAAGGCAAATTGGGTTACCTGACTGGCGACACTGATGCCTCCGATTCCCAAGACCGGAAATTTGGGAAGTGAAAAATTACTGATGCTGTTGTGAAAAGTTGGATGCTATGAACTATGAAACTCAGTTTGTTGAATATGTTTCATACTCTACCTATTACTAAGGAAATTTGGGATGCTGTTAATCAGATGTTTTATGATGGCTCTGACATGTTCCAACTCTATGAACTGTGGTGCCAGGCTACCCGTCTTAAGTAAGAAGGTCGTCTTGTCTCTACCTATTTTGCTGAACTTAAGGCAATCTGACTTGAATTGGACAAGAGATGTCCTTTTCAGATGAAGTGTGCTGATGATATGAAGACTTTTCAGGCTGCTGTTATGGCAGATCGCGTGTATGATTTTTTGGCTGGCCTTGATGATACTTATGACAAGGTCCGTAGTGATATTCTACGGAGTGATAAAGTTCCAAGTATTGAAAATTTATTTTTTATGGTTCGTCGAGAGGCTCAACGCCAGATAACTATGCTTGGATCTGGCACCAAAATTGGGGAACCTGCTAACACTACTTTTGTTTCTTGGCCTACAACGTCTGGCTCTTCTGCTGTTCCGTGTCGTTGCTTAACTTCTGCAGAAAATGACAAACTGAAGTGTGATCACTGTGGTGAAAAAAGACATATTATCGACACCTGTTGGGCATTGCATGGGGTACCAGATTGGGAGAAGAAGTGAAGGTGTTTTAAAAGGGAACAACTAGACAGCAAAGCTCATGTGGATGTTGCCCCCACTTCTGTGGTTGACATTACCACTGGGCACGACCACCTTACTGCTACTCATCCTCCAACCTTGACCGCGATCTCAAGCACTCCAACACCTCTGCCTCCAGCTAACTTTGGCAAGGCTTTCCATGCCCATGATACACGCGATACAGGTTGGATTATTGATTCAGGAGCTACTGACCATATGATGTATAATAATGCTGCTGCTCCTATCACGGGGGCTGGTTCTGTACTCTTGACACCCGCTTTACCATTGGATAAAGTGTTACTGGTTCCATCTTTGTCTAGTAATTTATTATATATACCCCAAGTTTCTGAGTAGTTAAACTGCGTTGTATTGATGTATCCGTCTTTTGTCTTACTACAGACTCGGGAGATCTTTGGTCATGATACTAAAAATAGGGGGTTTTATTATGTGGATGATGTGGCAACTAATCGGGTTATTCGTGCTGATAGCACCGAAACTTCTCAGCATCGCTAGATTTGGTAGCTACATTGCAAATTTGGTCGCTACATTGCAAATTTGGTCATGTCTCCTTTGGATATTTACGGCATTTTGTTTCCTGCATTATTTAGTGGTGTCAACGAGTCTGCTTTCCAATGTCTGACTTGTATTTTATGTAACACCCCGACTCCGTTATTTTTCCTATTTAATTTAA